GTAAAACGTAACGTATAGAGATGTATTACTTAGTGTATGAATAACTCCCACTCTTTATAGATATGATGACTGTTTGTTATTGTCAATGAATGAATACACTTTTTTATTTAAACAGCCCTGAAAACGTGAAAGCAGTTTATAGCAGAAACAACAAAAGAAAACACAAAATCTTATAACAAATGTAAAAATCTTCAAATTCATAAACACTGATGTAAAAAAAAGATAATTAACACTTACTTAAATTTACAATTTGTACTTAAATCTTGAAGATGAACACTACAAAGAAATATTAAACATACTTTGAAAATTAAAAAAATCTTTTAATATTTATAATTTTTAAATTATCATCTTTATTGGTAAAATATTTCATTCAACTATTGTTGTACTTATTTTTATTAAATTAAAAGGCATAAAGATGCATTTGGAATTTTGTTTTTGTTTATGATTTCTACCACAGTCACAGATTTTCCTAAATGTAAAATATTTTTAACTCCTTAAAATAATCAATGGTTAAAAATTGTTTTTGTTTAGCTTAAATTAATATTTTTACTTGTCTGTTTTTTATTATCTTTTGGGTATTTTTTACTTTAGTCACTAGTAAAGTTTATATGCATTAATTAATCATGAATGTAAATGTAAAATGTTTTTCACTCCTTAAATATGGAATTTTAAATAAAATAATAAATGTTTAAAAAGTGGAATTTTTTTTATTTAGCTTAAAAATATTTTTTATTGGTCTGTTTTTGATTATCTTTTTTTAACTTTAGTCTATAATAAACTTTATATATGTTAAAATAACTGTAACACAACTATAACAATAACACAAATTCTCAGTGTTAAAGTGTTCATCTGGATTCCTTCATGTGTATTAAGTTACTTCCATTTCATAAATTTAAAGAAAAAAAGTTGAAACTCAAACCAAATGTTTTATTTTAAAGAGTTCAGGCATTAAAATAACGTGTTATTTAGGGCTGCATTCCATTTCTGCACCTGTGGGCCCACTGATTGTTCTATAGAAGATTTAACAAGCAGATTCAGATAAAATAACATTAAAACACACAAATACACTTCCAGTCCTCATTGTCTGTCATGAAACAGGCTGAACAGTGTATGGTGGCCCAGAAGGCTCAGAAGAGGCAGGCTCTGATGGTCAGGATGGTGCTGAAGGCCAGAACTTTGGTGAACACCACTCGGACGCTGTTCATCACCAGCAGGTAGAAGTTCAGCTTGGCTTTTTCTGGACAGCAGACAAACAGAATTCAGACTGAAATCAACACAAACAGCTGACTGTAGGATCAGAGATCAGACCCAACCCAGACAGGAAGCAACACTTTATAACTGTTGGTGTCATTCTGGCTCATTTCAGCCTCAGCAGCAGCCTGAATGAGTGTGTGGGTCCAGATCAGGTGTGTTCAGGTGTGTTTGGTGACTCACCTGGATAAATGTTCCCGCATGCAGCATCTGTTTGGAAACAGGGAACACACATGAACACATATTGTTCTGTTTAGTGTCAGAATGTGATGATTCAGACTGTCTGAGACCAACAGTTTGATCAGAACTCAGACAGGAAATGGGTCTGTGAGTTTGGTACCAGCAGAGTAGTAGGTTCTGGTTGTGGTGGAATAAACTGTAGCATCAGTGCTCTTGGTGACCGGCGCTCCCCTCTGGTTCAGAACCACGTTGCCCCCCTTTGGATGGATGTTGGAGACCAGACAGACTTCTGGACCGAGCTGCTCTGCTTTCTTCAGAGGGAAATCGTGACCCCGCAGGGGGCTGAAGACGAACAGGGTCGGAGCCTTAGAGGGCCCATCTGGACAGGGACAAACAAAGCCAGATCCACATGGATCATCACAGCCGACTCCTTCTGTATTTATGTTACTGTTTCTGGGCTATGGTGGAGGTGTGGGTAACACATAAAAGCTACTAACAAACATCATATTAACTTGAATAGACTAGAACACATTTTTGGTTTTAGGGAAACACAAACTCAGTTTTTTAAAGCAAATACATTGATTTGTTTTATTTTAATTTAATGTAATTTCATATTTTTATTGTTGATTATTTGATTCTAATTTTGGTACGGGCCACATTTTCATTAACTCTAACTTTTTAATCTGTAATTTATTTTTGTTTTTCAGAAAGTTGTTTCAGTTTCTTTAATTTTTTATTGAATTTTTGAGATTTTATTTCAGTTTCAATCATTTTATTTTAATCCAAGACCCACCCAAATAAAAACAGGTAAATTAAACTAAATGCTGCTTAAGTCAGCTGGTCTAATTTGAACATTAAAATCTATTGAATGATTTCCCATTTTTCTGTCAAACTATGGAGTTTTCTCTCTTCTTTCGCCCTTTGTTAATAAAACTGACACAAAACAAGGAAAACAACACGAAAACTCAAATATAAAAAATAAATAAAAACAAACAAAAAGCAGCAGCTTTAAAATAAATTAATAACAACAAACCCTGAATGATTATCTGATATTTAACCATAACAGCTGACATCTTGTTTATATATTTTTACTTCTTCTCAACAGTTAATCCTAAAGCTCTAATGTGTTACTGAGGAGTGTTACAGTCTGAGATTAACGTTAGTAACTGTAGATTATAATTAACATTCTGATCTGTAATACAGACGTGATTAATTAATTAATTAATGATTCTAAACTCAAACAGCTGATTATTGTTTTCAGTTTAATAATAATTTATTCAGATCTGATTTCCACAAATAAAAACCTCTGATAATCTATTATTGCAACGCGTACCTTTTTGTTGACACTGATAAAAAATAAACATTACATTTATTTTTACACCAACAACACAGAAAAACACTTAAAAGGTTATGTAAAAATAAATGATGTGAACTTACCAGGTTGAACAGTAACCTCCGTTCCTTTTCCCCAGTTGTCTAAAGCACCACAGTGTTACCTCTTCTCTGAGTACTTCAACAAAAACACGAAACAGCTGAAAAAGTCCAAATAAACCCAACAAATACTTGAAATACAAACAACTGCTGAAAATGTAAAAAAAAACGGTTGTGTTCTGATTTATAAGAACATATTTGTTTCATCCTCGATTATATTATAAAGAAGAAACAGTAATTAGCACATGTCCACTGTGACTTTAAACAGTAGATGAATGACCTTTAAACATCAGCAGCTTAATAAAATAACCACACAAAGAACTTATCTGATGTTCTAGTGGCGAACATGTTTTAATTCTGTTTCCTCAGCAGATTAATGGATAATAATCTGGGTTTTGTTGAGAGGTTTTTGTCTTACTGTGAATCACTGTGTCTCTATATACCACGAAAGTACGTATCACAGTGAGAAACTGTCACACAACAACCAGACACTCCTACTGGAGAACAGGAGTCCTGTTCCTCCATCAGAGGAGAGAAAAACTGAAATTATCATCAGAACTAAAGCATCACGTTAGTCTACATGACCTCACACCGTTTTCTATTTTTAATGAATGATTTTTATTATGAAAGGTAAAAAAAAAAAATCAAGGATTTTTTTATTTCAAATTAGAAGGTTTTAAAATTTTTAGTATTTTTTAAGACCTTGGCAGTAGAATTTTTACGGTTTGGAATATCTTTATATTTATATAATTGACATTAAACGACCATTGTGCTTTTTATCTTTTGTGGATTTCTTTTAATTTAATGGGTCCTTTATTCAAAGTAACTTCAGAGTTTTATTTCCTGATATTTAGACATCTCTCCTCTGATTGGATAACAGCAATGGGACTCTACCACTAACTCTGTTCTCTCTGCAATGTTGATGTTTTATCTCCACAAATAACACAAACCTGGAAGTCCTGCTGTGTGGTGGAGTTGCTAATGCTAACAGTTAGCTTCTATAAGCCGAGACGTTCTCTGCAGTTCCGTAGACGCTAAACTAACAACAACCTTCCCTGTCGTGAGTCAGGATGGGTGAGTCCTTGAATGTTTAGTGTGACGTAGATCTGTGAGGATTTTCAAATCCTAGAGTTTCACCGTCTATTTTCTATCAGACGTTAATGCAGGAGATAAATGTTTACACTATTTTCATGTTCACCTTACACCGCAGAGTGACTGATTAAAGGTAATGGAGAACAAATGGTTTCTCAGTGAAGGACCTATTTAAGTTATCTTTATATTTGTGCAGTAACTGTGATGTTTGGTGTGTTTTTTTAACGTTTTCTCAACATAACTGAACATCAGAGAGAGTCAGACAGCTGCTGGGTTTGTGGTCAGCTCTGTGGCTTCCTGTATCACTGCGGCTCTTCGAGCACAATAATAAACTACAGAGTCTTCAAGCTGCTCATCAGCAGATACACTTGATCCTTGTTGTTGTCTCTGGAAACGGTGAAGCGGTTCTGCACTGATGGAGAATAACATATGATGGTTCCACTGGTAGCAGAAATGTGTGTGACCCACTCCGGTACTTTTCCTTCAGCCTGTCTGATCCAGCTGATCTGATATTCCTGCACATGTCCAGGTCAGTGTGTGGGATTCTCCAGGTCGTTTCAGCGCTGCTTCAGATCAAGTTTAAAGTTGATCTTGAGACATTTAATGTAGAAAATGATAAACTTTTAACCGTAATATTCACTAAAACCTACTCAGCTCTCACAGTAAATGTGTTTTTAGTTCCAATAGTTTTTTGTTAAAAATCATTTTAGAATTATCTGTTTGCTGACGTTTCCTTCAAGATCAGATTTTAAAATAAGGGTTCTCCTTTGTAGAAAATAACCAGGAAAAACCATTAATCTTTAGATAATTTGGTGAATTTTATTTTATTTTACAAAGCAAACTTTGTAATTTCTTTGTTGTAATTGTTATTTAATTGTTAGCGCTATCTCCAGAGTTTATTATCTTGATTTTAACTAAATTATGAAATCTAAAAAGCTGAAAATCTTTTAGCAAACTTACACTTTTCAGTTTGTCTTCTGAAACAAACGTTGTTATGAAGATGTGAGAAATGTGGATCTTCTACCATAAACTCTGTCAGAGCTGCTGCTGGTGGGTTTATAAGAGAAGAGGAGTTTGCATAGACCGCCCCCTGCAGGATAAAAGCATGAAAAACACTCAGATCGGTGCAAAAGTCTTCAGCTACCTCTCATATTTTTATATTTTACTTATAAGGCTTACTGCTTTATTTGCTTCATTTGTAACTTATGATGTCATCACTTCTGAACGTTTAAACTGTTTGTGTCATTTAAAGATGAGACATTTAGTCAAACTCAGAGTTCATGTTTAAATGTCTGTGGCCTTTTTTCTTTGTTATGTGATCATTTATATCATATAAATCCACTCTCAGTAACATGCAGCTGTGTTTACAGGGTGTTGATTTTGTCCTTTCATGGCCACCGTAGCATCAGACCTGTCTGCTGTATCTTAACATGGTTGTTGTGGAAGGTGAACTGATGGAAGTTGTTTGTAAATTGTGAAGTTTTAAGTCACTGACTGAACCTGCAGGAAGTTTGTTTTTGTGACATTTTAGATAACAATTGTTTATTTTTATTTTTGTCATAAATGTATTTTAAACAGTAACATGAATATTTCTGTAGCTCTACTTGGGTTTGATTGTTTTTCAGCAGATTTTACATTTAAAACATCCAGTGAGAGCGGGCTGTAGAGGGCGACAACGTCCTCTGCTGCCCGCAGATAAACGGAGAAGGAAGTGACGCGCCACCATCAGCGTCAGCCTGAAGAAGCCGGCAGCCGTCGGCGAAACTGTAGCTACAAACAGGTAAACAAAACTGTTTCTGTGTTTAAAAAAGAACGAAAGCATGGATTTAGAAAGACACAGCAAGAACACACCTAAGATGTTCAAAGAGAAATACGGACAACAAGGAACGAAGGACTTCCGCCGTTTGGAGCGATTACACCAGAAACGCGCACATCTAAGAAACCACCTTCGCTTCTGTTTAAGATGCCGGGACGAAAACATCACACCCACAAGCCTACAGCTGAAAACACCGATCCGGACCAAGACAGCACAAAATATAATAGAAAGAGCACAGAGAGCACTGCTCAAGGAGAGGATAAGGAACGTCATAACCAAACAGAGGCGTGTGGAGGACGAACTGGAAAGAGGACACCTGGACTTGAAAAGGAATTACAAACTTGATAAACAAATGGAGGAACTAATTAAAGGACACATGATGGAAAAACAGGAAAAAGAGTTCATAGAAGTAAAAGAAAGACACATAAAGAAGTTAAACAGACTCATAAGCAAGAAAAAGAGGGGAGAAATACAAGGCAACTCCACACCAAACTCATGGGTATGTAACATCTCACAATACGAACTAACAGAAGCAGAAGAAAGCATATTAAAGAAAGGTTTAAACTTTGCAGTCACACCAAAAGAAATACCATATGATGAATTTATTGTAGCAACAGAACTAGCATGTCAACAGATCACAGATGAGGGAAAGAAAGCAGAACTCAGAAATAACATAGTTGGGATATTAAAAAACAGCCAAATTCAACACAGCAATATTACAAAAGGAGAACAATCAGCTATGACAGCCTTATCCAAAAATGAACTGATAATTATTCTACCGGCAGACAAAGGAAGAACCACAGTAGTTATGGACAGAGAAAAATATAAACAACAGATGAAACAGATGCTAGAGGACAAAAATACATATGAAATACTTAAAAAACATCCAACAGAAAACATTAAGAAAAACATGAAAAAATTACTGAAGCCACTACACGAAAAAGGCAAAATAACAGAAAAAATGTACAAACACTGGATTCCTACAGCAAACATAACACCAAGAATATATGGAACACCAAAAATACATAAACAAAACTGTTTCTGTGTTTAAAAAAGAACGAAAGCATGGATCCAGTGATGTTTTTACTCTCAGGTT